CGTCACATGCACTCACCAGAAAGACAGAAAGAGACAGAGACACAGAAAGCAAGAAATCAACCCCCAGGGGGGGATAGCCACACCACAGTCCCTTCTGCTCCATTCTCCTCTTGGGATCTTGGGCACGTACGCACACACATACCTGGCGTGAGTTTAAGCCACCGGGTCTGGGACTCAAACCATGGTCAACTACATGGGGGTCCAGTGACATAGCCATTACACCAACTGCTGGTACCCTTTTCCCCTTTTTTCTATTGGATGTTTTTTTGTTTTGTTTTGTTTTTTCCTTATGGCTTTGTAAGAGTTTTTTGACTTGTTTTATTCTTGGATACAAGTTTTACATAAATACACATATTGGAAATACTTTCTTCACCTTGTGATCTGCCTTTTCACTCTCTTAATACTGATAAAAAGATTTAGTTTAGTCCATATTATTATTTTTGTAGTTAATTATTTGTTGCAACAAGGAGCATTCTTAATAATGTTCTGTGGATTTTTACATATTTTATTAATTCAAATTTGATTCAGAGCACCTAACCTAATAGTGATCTATCATCTAGATACCACAACTGATTCCCTATATTGTTTTCATATTTAATTGCAAGAAACAATAACAACAACTGACATGTTTTACTTCTTTGACAGCCTTTTTTTGGTTTTGTTTTATTTTTACTTAGGTCAAAATATGAAGCCCGTTGACTTTATGAATATGAAAAAGTCTCATGAAGTTCAGGCCATGTCAGAGCTAGTCAGTAGTATTGCTGATTACTATGGAATAAAGCAGGTGAGAGGATTTCTGACATTTTTAAGTGTAAAAATGATTGCCATTTTTTTGCTATCAAATTTCATTTTCTTCTGTCATTATCTAGTCTTCGAAATGTCATTAAATAATAGATACTGTGAAGTGCATCAAAGTCTCTCATTTTCCAGTATACTGTAATTACAAAAATTCAGAGTAAATGTAAGACGGGACTATAATGTTTTTTCACCGAGTTTCTCTCTTTTCAGAGTGGATAGAAAATAAGGATATATTTGATATATTGTAACTCCAATTGAGGCAGATGTTATTAAGATAACATCTACAAAATTGTTTGCTTCTAGGTGTTCTCAGGATCTGGGTTGCCAAGCTGTGGTCTGGGACATCTGCCTCAGTATAGTAATGCAGAGAAATTATGTTTTTAGGACTTGGATTCTTTTATAGATTCTGAATTATGATGCATTTCTATTTTGATTAGAATAGCTTTTATGAAAGATAATGATGCCTGAAAATAGAAGTTAAAATAAAATTAATCATTGTTCACATTGGCCTATAAAAACAAGTTACTTCTTTACAGAGTTATTATTTGATTTTATTTATTTATTTATTGTTATATTATTTAAATTTGCTATAGGACATGTTTGCTCACTAAAGAGAAAAAGAGGGGCCGGGGGAGGGAGAAACAAAACTGCCAAGTCTAGGATTCAAACTGCAGTCGGCCATGTGGGAGTCCAACGCCATAACCATCATGCCACCTGCTGGCCCAACAAGTTACTTAATTACTTTTCTTATCCCTACAGAAAGATCTGTGTAGGTAATGGGGATTTTTCTCTCCTGCAATTTTTATTAGGTATTAGAATGTTGTTCATGGATTTTCCTAGACATGTGGAGAATTTGAGAATGATTACACTATCCTAGTGTGGCCCAGCCATGGAGAGCTGCTTAGGGCAATGTAGATCTCTAGAACAGGGGCTAGAGGAAAAGGCTAATCCAGTAGTTTTCAGTCTTTTCTGAGTGTACCAAACTGAAGAGTTACCTGTCAGTATCAGTAACAGGCTCAGCATGCCAGTGATACTCAGCTGTAGTGGGAAAGGCGCAAACCTCTCCACACCCCAAATGCCTCTATGATGCCATGTCAGAATCTTGGGGACAAGTGCTCACCCTAAATATCCTTCAGGTACCTGCCAGCATTAACTTATAGTGATAATGAGATACATGGGTTCCAGGGGAACAAATGACAGGCTAGTTTCTACCTGGGTATATCTGCATTTTCCCCTGTGAGTTTGCTTTGACTGCTCAGATGAACACTGCCCACATACAAGTTCTAGGAATTAATTCCTCTTTGTAGGCACCATTGAACCATTTGTTGATGTGACATTTTCAGTGAGATTATTCTGAAATATGCGTTCTACAGTAGGTCTCAGTTTCACAATGGGATTAAGCCCAGATTGCCCTGTGTGCCTAATTATACACCCTTTTAAAAAAAAAAAAAAAAGAATTATTTTATTTAACTTTATGTATTTGTTTATTTGACCAGAGAGGGACAGATCAAGTGAGAGAGAGGGAATGAAAGTGCAAAAGCAAGCTGCCAGATCCTGGATTTGAACCACAATCAGCCATGTGGGAGTCCAGGGCCCTTAACCACAATGCCATCTGCCAGCCCCATATACACCTTTCATTAGGCTGATTGTTTCTCTATTCTGATGCTGTGCCAGTGTTTGTTTCACTTCCCATGTAAATTGCTTATATTTAAATCTTCATTGTATGATCTGTCTCTTGGATAAGGTAACCCAAATAAGGGATAAGGGATATTTACCTTATTGTGCTTCCATAGCTTTACATGTAAATTGCATTTGTTCTTTATTTATGTGGAGTACTATATAATAATAAATACCTTTAAATTGATAAAGCAGATTTATTTCTAAAGTGCACAGAAAACAGTTTGAAATACTTTATTATATCACTTAGCCCTACCTTAAGAGAACTTTCTTCGTAGCAAAAAAAGATTGTTCCTATTGAATGAAATAACCTAAAATTTATGATACCTGTTAAGGTCCAGATCAGCCTAAGTTAGTGTGTCCTTATTAAATGAAGATTTATGAGGTCTTTTCCTTGAAATCACTATCAAATATTATTTGATTCTTTAGATGTTTAAATTTAAGAGCATTTTATATGTACTACTTGTATTTTTAGGATGTGCATTTAGTAAATACAGATTTCATGAAGGTAGATAGAAACCTAGGTTCTGAAATATTTAACTTTATAAGTGATCATAAACTAGAGAAGAGAACAAAATAATTTGGCTTTGTCTCAACCATAGCACTTCCTGCCTTCCTAAAATCCTTTGCCTATCTCATTCACAATAGCAAGGCTTCTTCATTTTTATTTGTAAAAATTTGTTTACAGTTGTATGCTTCCCTGCATTCATTCATTTAATGAGCAGTTGGGACCAGCAGTTGGCATAATGGCTATGTCACTGAACTCCCATGTAGTCAGCTGCCATTTGAGTCCCAGACCGGTGGCTTATAGTCACACCGGGCACATGTGCATGCGTGCCCATGATCCCAAGAGAATAGAGGAGAAAGGATTGTGGCGTGGCAATCACCCTGGGGGGGGGAGGTGATTTCTCACTTTCTATCTCTCTGTCTTTGTCTTTCTGGTGAATGCACATGCCCTATAGCAAAACCTCTCCTCCTCCCCCCAAAAAAGTATATTTTTAGATCTACTATGGGTCAGAAGCAGGGTTTTTTTCTCTAATTTCCCCACAAGGGGAATGTTATTGATTACTTGATTCCCTCACAAAAAGGCTAACTGTAATCAAATGAGGTTATCATTCACTTTGAGATTTTGTCATCTTCATAATAAAAACAAAAGATGAAGCTTAGAACTGGATCACTTAACCCTTTCTCTTCTTATCTCCTCCCAGTTCAAAATGCTCCCATCTTTTAATAGCCAACCTTCTCTTAGATCTGCAGTTGGGCTCAACACATTCAAGCATAATCTTCTATGTAGTTTTTGCCTTTTTCCAGATAATAGGCTTAGTCTGTCCACCACAGTCTCTGCTTCCTGTCATAACACTGCTTTCCTTGAGCACACCGCGGATCCTTAACCTTTTGATACTGTGTCACTTTTGTGAGGTTGATGCTTGCCACCCTTCTTATAGAAAGTCTGGCAGATTTTAGGGACATTCACCATGCCTGTGGGAGTGTTTTCTGCACAGAAAGCGAGAGCCCCACTGGCCAGAGCAGTTTTAGATAGATACTGAGCATATAAAAGTGAGCAAAACACAAAGAATCTTTTTGCTCACATATTTATATTCCAGTAAAGAGATACAGTCAATAAAAATTATAGTTTATTGCATGTGTTAATATATTTTGCAGAGGAAAAATAATTAAAAGGAAAGAGAGAAATTAATTCAAGGATAAGGGATTAAAGATTTTTTGTTTGTTTTTTAAGAGAAGTTTTGCTATAGGGTGTGTGCACTCTCCAGAAAGATAGAGAGACACGGGGAGACAGAATGCAAGAAATCACCCCCCAGGGGGGATGGTCACACCTCAGTCCCTTCTCCTCTGTTCTCCTCTCAGGATCTTGGGCACATGCACATACGCGCCCAGCATGAGTTTAAGCCACCCTGTTGGGACACGAATCACGGTCCACTATGTGGGAGTCCAGCAACATAACCGTCACGCCATCTGCTGGTCCCTTGGATTAAAGTTTTTGTTTCAGAAGGGAAGGGCAAATAGGACCTCATTTTAGATAGTATTGGGTTAAGACTTTCCTCAGAAGGTAAGAGAGCTAATAGAGTATATGGAGGAAAAACTTCAGATGGAGGGAACAACTTGTTCAATGGCTCTGAAGAGATAATATGTCTACTTTGTTCTTGAAACATCCAGAGAGTTGGTTTGACTCTAAAGGAACAAGCAAGGTTATAGTAGCAGGAGTTGGGGTTGGAATAGAATAGGTATAGTAGTACGAGTTGAGGTTGGACTAGAATAGGCAAGTCATGAAGTTGTAGTTTTAGAGGCCATCATGATGATTTGGGATTTTATCCTGAATGAGATGGAAAGCCATTGGAACCACTGAGTCATGTTTTTTCTGCTGTGCAATATTATGAAACAAATATTTCTGCTGACTTTGTACTCATTTATTCCTTCACCACAGTCATTTTTTTTTTTTTTTGAGACATTCAGGCTGAGAAATCAGTTCTCTAATCAAGAACTTCTGTGATTAAAGCAAAAACTCAGTAATGGTAGTAGGAGAACAAATGAGAGATTTTGCCAAGAGGAATGTTATGATCAGACTTTTTCTCTGTTGAATATAGACTAAAGGAGGAAGAGGTGGAAGCAGGGAACCATTGAGAAGGCCATATGATTAACCAGGCTTAGGGTAGGCTTGGTATGAAATAGCTTTGGTAAGTGATCAGATTATGGATTAGGTCACAATTCACATGTAGATTTTAAGAGAAGAAGTATGGAGATAACATTAACTATGATGGAGAAGGTTATGGGAGGGGCAGGTGTTACAGGGAATACCAGAAGCTGTTTCAAGCATGTTAAAGTTGAGATGGTTAATATAAGTTCAAGTGATAATAGTAAACAGACTATTAGATATTTGAATGTGAAGTTCATGAGAGAACTTGAAACTGAAATTATAAATTTGAGAGTCATTAGTCTGGAATGGTCATTAGATCTCTGGGCCACTCAACAAAATGTGATTCTTCTACCTGATGGATAGTACTCTACTTAAAACACCTACTATTAAGAAATTTCACCACTATGTATACCAGTGTTTCTGTGAGAAAGACTTCTGAACAGAACTTGGAGAATAGGGACCAGCAGGTAGCATAGTATTTAAGGCACTGGACACTCCCACATGGCTGACCATGGTTCAAGTACCCGACCAGGTGGCTTGCTTTCTCACTTTTCCCCTCTCTCTCTGTATCTCTCTCTGGTCAAATTAAAATAAGTGAATGAATAAATAAAATTTAATAATTTTTTTTTTAATTTAAAAAAAGAACTAGGAGAAAAGGAGTTCTCTCAACAGGGATTAAAATGGAGACATCTCTATCTTCACACATTTTTTGTATAGTCTTCAGGATTTTATGTGGGCACAATCATGTCATCTACTAATAGTCAGTTTTACTTCTTTCATTTCAGTATTTATGTCTTTTACGCCTTTTCCTTGACTTATTACACTGGCTAGAACCTCCAAGAAAATATTAAACAACTACGATAACAGTGGATGATGTTTAATAGAAATCAAAAAATTAAAATAAAGACACAAATCTAACGATTGTGTAAATTATGCAATCTAATTGTAAACTTGTTTTTTAAAAAAATATTTAGAGTGCTTTATGTTAAAAACTGACAAATCCTTTAATTCATTCTTTTTTTTTCTTACCTTAGGTAATTGACTTGGGTTCTGGTAAAGGCTACCTAAGCTCCTTTTTGTCTTTGAAGTATGGCTTAAAAGTTTATGGAATTGATTCATCAAATACCAATACTCATGGGGCTGAGGAGAGAAACAGGAAATTGAAGAAACATTGGAAGCTCCATCATTCTCAGCCAAGATTAGATGTCAATGGACTGGCCTTAAAAATGGCAAAAGAAAAGAAAATGCAAAGTGAAATTAAATATAAGGCAGATATTGAGAAAGTATATAGCAACAGTCCTACAGATCAAGGAAAGATGTTTGCATCAGATTTGTTGCCAGATTTTTCAGGCTCTATAATTTCTAATATCAGAAAACAAATGGAAAGCCTACATGTTCAGCCACATCGAGAAGAAAATTTGTGTTTTGAAACTGCCTTTTCTCTGATAGATCTTTTACCTATTAATGGCATAGAGCCAATTTCTTCATTGCAAATATGCAAGAGGGAAATGCCTGAAGCAACTAAAGAGAGAAGAAAAACCATATCGAAGTCAAGTGAATCAAATATATATTCACCTCTAACCTGTTTTATCACGGCTGATTCTGAACTACATGATATTATTAAAGATCTGGAGGTGATTTCACTTTTGAATTCTATAATTTGATTAACAAAGATGCTCTAGGATGTACAGTCTGGTTTCAATAGTAGCTAACTTAACGTGTATGTCTCATTTGATCGCATTAAGCTAAAAGACCAGAAAATGAAATCATGGACAGATTTCGTTATGCCCATACCTATCAAAATCTGACAAGAACATATTCTGAAGTAGAATACCCTCTCCTCACTTCAGTCCTAAATCAGACAGAACTGCTGGCACAAAAGCTACTATGCTAAATTCTTATTCTGCCATTTAGCGATTATTAAAAGTCCAATCCAAGAAACCTCTTTCATTTTAATTTATATTTATAGTAAAGAGATATCTAGGGAAAATTATATTTATCATTAGACTTGATGACTACATGTGCAGTTTTCTTGAGCAAGAGTAATTCCTGAGTATTTTTAATGTTTTGAACTTTTTCTAACAGTATTATCAAATTAAGTAAACAGAATAGAGTAAGAGGGATTTTCAAAAAGTTCAAAGAAAATGTGTATCATGAGAAACCTATGCATGGATGCCATTTTTTTTTATAACAAAATTAACTTAATGAAGCCAGTATTGTGTGTTAAAACAATATCATAGAGGAGCTTCTAGAGATCATTTGACTTTACTCATTGTCTTTTAAAAAAGAAGGCATAATTTCTAGTTACTATTCTATCCTTGTTAAATTTTTCAGAAAATTTCCCCCAAACTTGAATGAACAAAAGATATTAGAGTTCTTTATAAATTTCAGTCTTTGCTTGGTAGCTGACCAATGTTTTGCCATTTTTTATGTGAGGAATTGGTTTTTCCAGATATTTTTGAATTTTACTGGTAAACAAACTAGTTATCCTTATTAATTATTTGTCTCATATAAGAACTTAGAAATATATATTTTTCACTTTTATTAAAAAGAATTATTTATTGGTACCAGCAGATGACATAACAATTGCATCCCTGGACTCCCACATATTCGACTGCAGTTCAAGTCCCAGACCTGATGGCTTAAATCTCACACCGGACACATGTGCGTGTATACCCAATGTCCCAAAAGGAGAATGGAGGAGAAGGGATTGCAGCATGGTCATCCCCCCTCCCCCAGGGGGGGATTTCTCACTTTCTGTCTCTGTCTCTCTGGCAAGTGCTCATGCCCTATAGCAAAAATCTCTCTTAAAAAAAAGAATTATTTATTTAACCTTATTTATTATTATTATTATTATTTTAATTTGCTATGGGGCACATGCTCTCACCAGAGAGGATAAAAGAGGGGCACATGCTCTCACCAGAGAGGATAAAAGGAAGAAAAAAAAAAAAAAGAGAGAGAGAGAAAGCAAGCCACCAGGTCCAGGACTCAAACCATGCTTGACCATGTGGGAAGTTCAGTGCCTTCAACATTATGCCACCTACTGACCCCTCAAAAATCTTTTAATTTGACTAATACTTGTTAATATTATTAACTACTATATGATGAATATCATAAACAATGAGATTAAATGCTCTTGTGTTAAGTTTAGAGAGAGCTAAGCTAAGTTGAGAAAAAAAAATTATATCCTTCTTCATTAGCAAAAAACTTGTCTGAATAATTTTTTTATATGGTGTTATGACATCTAAATAAGACCTATTTAAACTAAGTAATCATCAAGCAATGCAAAATAGTTATATAGCTCTCCAAAAAGTATACTTTGAAGAGAATAGTAATTGAAACAACTGAATATTCTGCCAAGTTACATTTATAGGTAGGTTTTTTTTTTTCTTAGAAAGATCATAGTCAAATCCTGCTTTATGTCTGAATTACATGGACTAAAATAACATTTTGTTTTATTTTGTTTTGTTTTTGGAGAGGTTTTTGCTATAGGGCGCGTGCACTCATCAGATAGACAGAGAGGCAGAGAGATAGAAAGCGAGAAATCACCCCCCAGGGGGGATGGCCATGCCGCAATCCCTTCTCCTCCATTCTCTTCTTGGGATCTTGGGCACGCACACACACGTGTCCAGTGTGAGTTTAAGCCACCGGGTCTGGGACTCGAACTGCGGTCGACTACGTGGGAGTCCAGTGACATAGCCATTACACTAGCTGCTGATCCCTAAAATAACATTTTTAATAAAAAAAAATTTTCTTTTGGTTAGGTTTTTGCCAAAGGCCATGTGCACTTGCCAGAGAGAGACAGAAACAGTGAGAGGGAAGGTGAGAAATCACCCCCAAGGGTGATGGTCATGCTGCAATCCCTTCTCCTTCAGAAATTTTGGGCATGCAAACACATGTGCCCTGCATGATTTTCCAGCCACCAGGTCCAGGACTCAAACTGCAGTTGACCATGTGGAAGTCCAACACCTTACCGGTATGCCACTATGCTATCTGCTCGTCCCTTTAGTAAAATAATTTAAAATATTTAAATGAAACAATTATATTTGTTCTGAAGATAGTTATGAAATTATACCTAAGTCACATCTCACTACTTCTATTGTTTTGTCTTTAAAATTTAGAGTAAATTATAGTGATAAAAATAATAGAAAACATTTACTGAAATTTATTGCATGCTAGAGATTATGCTGTCATTTATAGGAATTTTTTAAAAAATTATTCATTCATTTATTTTTTAATTTGACCAGAAAGAGAGAGAGAGAAAGAGAAAGTGAGAAAAGAAGCCACCAAGTCTAGGACTTGAACCGTGGTCAACCATGTGGGAGTGTCCAGTACTTTTATCACTATGCCACCTGCTGGTCCCCTACAGGGATTATCTTAATGTTCTACAACAACCCATTGAGATGAAGTACTGTTAGTACCTCCGTTTTACAGAGGAAGAAATCGAGGCTCTAAAAATTTAAAACAAGTTTACCAAATCACATTTGTTCTAACCTAGAATTTAAACCCAGGCTCTGTTTCTAAAGGCTATCCTCTTAATGCTTATAATACAATTTTTGTAATAAATTTATTAATAGCGAATTCTTTGACATTTCTTAGTAAATACATGTATCTTCAATATTTTATACCTTTAAAATTAATTTTTAGTTTAAATTTAATTTAGTTTGTTTTTCTTCTTGTCCTTAATTGTTTAAGGTGGGTCTATATACTTGTGGTGATCTTGCTCCAAATACTCTGTGAATATTTAGTTGGTATTGTAAAGGGATTCATCTATTTGATGTATAATACTTTAGAGAAGCATATGAGACTTCGAAAGTGATGATGGGTTAGTTAAAAATAAATAAATAAATAAATAAAATAAAACTGGGGGCCAGCAGATGGTGTAGTGGTTATATGTCTGCACTCGCACATGGCTGACAGCACTTCTAATCCCAGACCTAGTGGCTTGAAAATCATGCCAGACGTTTGTACATGTATACCCAAGATCCTAGGAGAAGGGATTGTGCTATGACCATCCCCCCAGGTGGTGATTTCTCACTCTCCCTCTCACTGTCTCTGTCTCTGTCTGTCTGTCTCTCTCTGGCAAGCACACTTGCCCTATGGCAAAAACCTCTTTAAAAAAAAGGATAGTAATTAATATACCTGTGTCCTAATTATAGATTTTAACATCAATAAAATGACCTTTGGGCTAATAATGCAACCCCTAAGCTTAATACTGTCTTCTAGAAAATTGAAGTATAATATATATATATTTTTTTTTTTTGAAGGGTTTTTGCTTTAGGGTGCATGCACTCACCAGAAAGAGAGAGATAGAGAAACAGAAAGCGAGAAATTACCCCCACTGGGGGATGGGCACGCACACATACACGCCTGGCATGAGTTTAAGTTACCAGGTCCAGGACTCGAACTGTGGTCGACTATATGGGAGTCCAGTGGCATAACCATTACGCCAACTGCTGATCCTGAAAGGATAATATTAAAAGTTCTCTAAAAATCTTTTTAGTTCCAAATAATAAAAGTGTATGATTCTAATAAGGAACAAATTTCCTATATAAAAATTCCTTTTTATTCCTTTAATTAAGTTTTTGAGTAATGTCAAAGGCAGAAAGGTATTATATTAAAAGTTGACTGATACAGTGAATGAGCCCCTGTACATGTGTACATTTGTATCTTTTCTGTATTTTTGTGTATATATTTAGATTAGGCTTTGGATAACTAGAAGAAACTTATAGAATTTTTTTGCATAAAATTTACATTGTCAAACTCAAAATGACAAATGTTATGTTGAATCTCATATTGCCATATTTAATGGAGTGAATAAAGGTTTAGTATTGGTGTAGAAATGCCAATTTTATATCACTTGTATTTGTTTTTTCTAACAATATTTTACAAAGTTTTTGATAAGCAATCTGTAAAAAGTGAAGTCAATAAAAAATATTTATTCCTTTGATCAAAGTATGATATAATGTGTCTCAAAATCAGATTGTGCTAGTCATGCTTGCCACATTCTATTGGTCTCACCTTTATGCTGTCTAGTTGTTAAGCAAACATTAATTGTTAAAGAGATTAGTGGAAAAACAAATGGATACATAACCCAGAACTCTGGGGAAAAAGTTGATAAGAGATCAGTCATTTTGCCTATGAAGAAAATAATTATTCATTAGAAAAAGAAAAAGCATATAATACTATATATAATTTAATAATTATAAAAAGCTTCATAGTGGACATTTATGATCTTTACCTGCATTGTCCTTAATGCTCCTTTTCATTCCCCAAATTTGTTTTTCTTCTTGTCCTTAAAGGATTGTTTGATGGTGGGTCTACATACTTGTGGTGACCTTGCTCCAAATACTCTGCGAATATTTACTTCCAAGTCTGAAATCAAGGGAGTGTGCAGTGTGGGTTGTTGCTACCACCTTTTATCTGAAGAGTTTGAAAACCAGCATAAAGGTACAGATTTCTCCATGTGTCATAATTTTTGTGTATTTGGGTCATCGGGAAAGTCATGATATATTTTTCTGTGAAAAAATGCATCATGACTTTCCTGATGACCTAATATTTGAGCATAATGGCTGTGTTCTATTTCTTCACCCTTTTTTTGACCACTATTGTGATTTGAATTAACGTTTAAGATAAAAACTGATTTTTCTTGCACTTTTAATGTTACAGCATTAATGAAATTTAATGCATCATCACCTTATATATTTTATTATGGTTTCTTTGATCATAAAATGGTTTTAAAGTGCTAAAAACTGCAAAGATTGCAAAATTTTATGTGGTATATATTTTAGAGAACTTCCATTTAAAAATACTTGTGAGTTATACATTTACTGAGTTAGTAAAGCTATTTTGTTACGAATATAGTTTCAAGATTTGCTTTCATTTCTAAAGCCTCAGTTTCTGAATGAGTATTGATATTTCTTTTTCTTTACTTTCATTGAAATTTTTGTTATAGGGGCCAAGTGTTCTCCAGAAACAGAGGCACACACAGAGTGAGAGAGAGGGAACATGAGAAAACTCTTCCTAGGAAGGATGGCCACACCACAATCCTTTCTCCTCCATTTTCCTCTTTGGTCATGTGCCTGGTATAGTTTTAAGCCGCCATTCCAGGACTCAAACTGCATGGTCAGTCACATGAGATCCAGCACCTTAATTCCATTCATTCCATCTGCTAGCCCCAATATTTCTTTAAATGAAAAAAAAAAAATTTTTTTTTTTTGCTGTATTTGAAGAGTCAGCAGACTAAGATTGCAGAAAACTACAGAACTGTTTAATTACAATAAAATAATAAAATAATAGTCTTCAAACTATACTCTCTGGACTCAGAAGGTGCTTAAGGAGCAAAGTACAAAGTAGGTTAGCAGGATTGAATCATTCCATAACACTTTATCCAGAGCAGCTCCTAAAATACCTTTGTTTGAGCCATATTATACACTAAATCTCTTAAGATACGATTTCAAAACCACTGAGTCAGATTAGATGGTTATTTAGTCTACTATTAGCAGTTCTCTTTTATCTTGGGTTAGTGACATCTTTATCAATATCCAGAGTCCCTTGCTAAGAATTTTTAGGTCAGGAAGTTGTGTTCATAGGGGTGATATTTGTTGCTCTTTTATTTTTTTTTCTATTTTTTTCTTTCTGTTTTAAAACCTTGTTGAACATAAAATTTTTATTGTTCTGCATCTAGTCATGTCTGAAAGGTAAAAATTACAATCCTATAATTCTGCTGAAATGAAACTAGCTGAAACAGATGTCATCCTTAGAATTTCCAGAGATTCTTGTAAGGTGGAGTTAATAAAGTAGAATTATTTTATATAAGGGTTCTGAAAAACATCTTTTAAAAAGGCACATACACATAAATGTATAAATATAGAGATTAGGAGAAAGAACTCACATTGGCAAAAAGTTTGGAGTCTAATTTAGATGGACAATGTGATTGTCATGCCATTATTACCAAATGTTTTTCTTTAAGTTCGGAAATTTTCAAGATAAAAATTAGGGAGGAAAAGTGGACCTAAATATAGACAATAATGTGTTACTACTAAACTATGTATCAGCATGTTTATGTTATTTACAATGTTTTCATGTATTCTTCCAAACAACATGAAAACAATATAACACAGTCACAGATTTTTAGCTTTTTAAATATTAAATGTACAATATTTTTCTTAATCAGCAATAGCATAAGCTTCTATAGAGGGAAGCACTGACTTTTACGTTGTATTATGAGTTCTTAGTTCAAGGATTTTCTGTTCTGTAGGCACAATGACATGCTGTTTAATAATTGCCCCAATCCTAGGGCAGGTGTGGATGGTAGGAATGTCTTTAAATTCAGAGATGCTGTTCTGCATTTTAAGATCTTTCATTTCAGAGCCAGCAGATAGTATAGTGATTACATTGCTAGACTTCCACATTGACTGACAGTGGTTCGAGTCCCAGACCTAATGACTTGAAAATCATGCCAGCGCACGTGCGTGTGTGCCCAACATCACAGGAGGAGAATGAAGAACGGATTGTGGCATGGCCATTCTTCCTTGCATGTGATTTCTCACTTTGTCTCTCACTGTCTCTGTCTCTCTGTCTCTCCAGCGAGTACACATGCCCTATGGCAAAAACCTGTAAAAAAAAAAAAAGAATAAAGAAAAAGAGGTCTTTAATTTCAAGATTAGCAAAAAAAAAAAAAAAAGAAAAAAGAAAAAGAAGTCTTTAATTTCAAGATTAGCAGATGGTGTGGTGGTTAAAATAGCTAGATTCCCACATGGAAGATTGTGGTTTGAGTTTCAGCCCCAGTGGCTTAAAATCATGCCTGACACATACATGTCCATAGTCCCAAGAGAAGAATGAAGGGAAAGGGATTGTGGTGTGGTGATCCCACAGGGGTTGATTTCTTATTTTCCTTTTCTCTTTCTCTGTCTCTTTCTTCTCTGGCGATTGCACACACCCTATGGCTAACCAACAACAACAAAAATTATTTCATCTACCCACTTCTTTCATGTCATCATCTCTGTCTCCCAAGGATGCCTTCTTCTTCCAAAATAGCTCTTCTCCTCTTTTGCCTCTTCAGCCAGTATCTACTTAAGACTGCTATTTCTGTTCCTGCTGGACCCAACAACCATTGCTCTGTACCATCCGTTCTCAGACTTAGCCTCAATACTTCCCCCACACCGATAGGATCTTTTCTTTCTCAGTAGTGTACTCTACTCTCTATCACACCTATTTCTCCATCGTCCCATCGTAATATTCCTTTGGAGTGATCCCCAGAGCTGGTTCTGCTGGTTTGGGATGTTTCTTTCCTGTCTTATTTTTCAATAAATGTTTGTTGTGTAGATGTGGGTTTTTATTTCTTCTCTGACTTTTATTCAGCTTGAGGTAATCATCATTTTATGACAACCAGGAGGTGTCACTGGTACATTTTTTAATCTTATACCTGAGTTCTTTGGTCATATTAAAGGCATTGGGAAAAGATGCTTGCCAGTGTTGAAAAGAAAATTAAGAGATTGATTTGTTTCTGCTTTGCCAATCTATTTTCTGTCTTCAAGTACCTTTTCTAATAGATTATTGCATGGAACTTAACAGGTATTCTTTGACCATGTCTTCTAACTGAAATTAATTTCAATAGAACATATTAGGCCTTTGAAGAGCCTGAAGGGAGGAGGAAGATTGCTGTATCCACATATTTAGTCATTCCTGTTTCTTTCCTGCCGAGGAGAGATTGGCTAGATTGATGAACGTTTAGAATGTAGATACTGGATTTTATTCACTTTTGTATCTTCTGTCCTAAGCACATTGGCTCAAATAAGACTGGTAAAGATGAATGTTTGTATAATGTGTTTGAATGTTTAAATAGATTATAAAAAGCAAGTTACTAGAAATAGAAAAAGTATCGATGTTCTCTCACCTGGTAGATGCATTTCATACAGGTAAGAAAGTGTGTGATTGAGTTGAACAAACATTTATTGAACAGCTACCATGTTGAAGATGCTGCACTTGACATACTATGTATAATAAAGGAAAATAAGGGCAGGATTCTTAAAAAGTCAATATTTTATGGCGATTAAAATGTCAGTATTTTAGGAAAGAGATCAGAAATTCAAACAGGTAACCACCAAAATTCAGCTCAACACCCATTCAGTGCCAACTGTGTTCCACTGTGCCGAGTGATCTTGAGATAAAAATACATGAGAAATCCTTACCCTTAAGGAATTTTTTAAAATACCCTAATCTTAGGTGCCAGAAAAATCTTTAAATATGTTTTTAAAATTCTGAAAAAGTCACGCAGAATAGAAAATTCAAATGACATTGAAAACTCAAAGTAAATCCCACACCGTACTCTTGACCTCTTTGTTTATCTCCCCGGGTGGTGGGGGGAACTTAATCACACACATGCGCATTCTGTTTTTATGTGCTTTAAGAAAATAAATATACAAAATATTATCTTACTTTCTTTCCATATTATCTTTTGATGATCTTTCCATGTCAGCTCAATGAATGTTGCTTTAGGATTTTTAATGATTCCAAGGTATTTCACATACTATATTTTATTTACTCAGTCCTAAATAATTAATATTTGCTTAAAGCAGTAATAATCTTCTTTTAATAAACTAAAATTTAGTAAACAGATGACCAGTCCACTGTAGAGTTTGGAAAACACCCAGTATAGCACCACTGTTCATCTTTGTGTCCTTACCCTCAAACTTAATTTCAAAATGGTATATAGTAAATGCTATGAATCAGGATATTCTGTAAGTGCTCTCTGACAGCAGAGTAGCATATAGCTTAGTCTATGAGAGCTTGCACCTGTGTTTCACCTTGGCAACAAAAGCTCCAAGTTATTCATATAAGGAAATGGAAAAAATTATTGTAGGTGGAATGAACAAAATCATAAAGTGATTAAGTGTTCAAAATCAAGTTCTCACTTTCACAGTCATACTTACTACTACTCTTTGTAATGTCTTTTCTACTGTCTTATGCTTTTCTTCATATGATAGAGATAATCCTAGTGTCTATTTTAAAGAGTCAGAAATCATAATTTTTAGAATGAATGAGATCTCCTTTCTCATTTTAGTTTACTCTATATCCTCTTTCCCCAGAATCTGTTCTTGCTTCACTTAGTTTATTTTAGATTACTCATAAAGTAATATTGAGTTTTCTGGGGAAATTAATTGAATAAAATAGTTCTACATTTTTGCACACTAGAGATGGAAGCCTCTTAGCAGATTCTGAAGCATTGGTCTTGGCTTCTCTAGGATGGAAGTTGTAGTTGTTCACAGTGGGTCGATGGAATGTTTTTGATCCCAGGACTTTGATGAGAAAATGTCAAAAAGGTTTGTGAGAACAGTGGCTTGCAGAGAGAGACTCTCATTTTTCCCTCTGTATGAGTCATTCCGATCAAAAATATCCTTTAAGAATCATTGATAATGTAAATAATGTTGGTGTCAGTGGGGAAAGCT